TTTATTTTTTAGTATGTCCACGACAACGTTTTAATAGTATAAAACCAAACCCTAGGTTGATTTCTATAAATAAAAAGGAAAATATTATACCTCTCAACATTCACATTGATTTTCTAACTTTAAATATGTACTCCCTTTTCAATCAAAACTTCCAATTCTCCATCAACATCTCAAAATTGTTATTTCCATCCTATTTCTCTCTTAACTATTTATATCATGCAAATAAAGGGATGATAAGAGTATTTTCCTTATATATATATATATATATATATATATTAGACCACTTAACACATTTAACTATTTGATTCTTATTCTCTTGTTTTAGCTACTATATAAAAATGTTTCTAATGGTACTTCTGAGGGTTAGACTTTTGTCCTAATCCACCAACATTCTAATAAATAAATCCTTAACAATTTCCATTTCGGTCCAGAAGTTTGACAAACTTGTCAAATTTAAGTATCCTTAATTATTTTCTCTTTTAAATTCAATTTGAATCTCTTCTTTTAAATATTTAATCTAAACACTTTAATAACTCATTTACTTATTATTTCTTGAAAATAAATATCTTTGGACTAAAGTTGATTAACTGTCTGGACTAAGATAGGCTAAAGGACTAGTAGAACCATACATAGGCTCAATTTAAGATAGCAAAACATCTCGACTGAGTAGACCCTAGCAACTTCATAATCATGTCTGAGACTTTGAAAAAGGAAATATAATAAATTCTCAAACTACCGAAGACTGCCTTTATTTCAAAACCTTTCGTATGCGCCTATTGGAAGATTTAGGTTACCTCCTCTTTTTCCTAATCTTATTCGGATAATAAGTTAGTCCGGTTTATTAGATAGTGAGTAGGTAAGAAAGGGTATTGGTCTATCTTCGGATGGTTAACGACATCATATCACAAGAGTTTTTAGCTTTTCAGATATAAATGTTAGGCACAAACTTATCAACAACAACCTTCCAAGGTTCAATACAATTTATGTTTTCCCCTACCGGTAACCCAAGATAAAAAACAGAAGGTGAATAACAAAACACCCAATAATTTCTACAAACTCCACAACCTGAGAAAAGTTCACCAACTCCATTTAACTTGCTTTTTTACAAGTTACTTTTCATATTGGATACCATATAGAACAATGTAAAATGCATTTCCCCAACATCCACTTACACAACATAATGTCATTAATCTACATAAAAGAAGTTATAAATCTTTATAGCCATATTACTTACACAAACTCCCCAAATGCAATTGTTACATGAGCCTCATCCGAAGTAACACAGAGGCCCCTTATATCTATAATGAACTCAAACAAAGATAGCGGTTCTCCTTAATGTAAACAACATTTAATAAAAAAAATTCCGTTAGTCAGGGGCGTAAACCAAAAAAAAATCCCTTGAAGAAAATAAGAGCCACTTTGACCCAACCACACAAGTTGGGCATATAACCTCAGTCGGTTACTCCTAAGACAAAGAATCATAAGCCTTTCCTAAATCCAGATTGAACACCATCAGTTTCCTTTTAATAAACTTTAAACAATACAACTATCATTTTCAACATTAAAGAACCATCAAGAATTTGACAACATTTGATGGAGGTCGGTTGCTCGGCACTAACAACGTTGCTAACACCGTCTGCGAGCATATTAGTTAGAATATTACCAACACATTTATATTGGCATGCAAATAGACTAATCAAACGATAGTCCTCGATGAACTTCGAGTCTCGGATCTTATATGAAGCTAAGGGTTGCACACTTTTATAATGAAAAAATCGATCTAAAACTACCTAACAAGAATCACCACATCCTCATGAACCACCTCCCAACATCTTTAAAGAAAACTAAATGTAAACCCATAATGTCCTGGAGCTTTATCGACCCCACAATCCTAGATAGCTTTATTTATCTTTTTTGTTTTTGTTTTTTTTTTAATAGGCAAATCTAATCTACTCTTAAACTACTACCTAATTCCATCTATGTCCACGACGAAACTTGAACACTCGACCTCAAAGAAGAAAAACACCTGATACTGCTGAGCTAGAAACCCACCACGAAAGAAATGCAGCTCAGTAAAAGAAGGTTGCTAAAAATGAGACGATTAAACGCCCTTGAAGTAATAGAAGATCGATAACCCTAAGAAAAATGTATACGAAATTAAAATTAATAGAACTCTTATTCCACACTATAGTAGGGTCCATTCGCCATCCACCATGATGCCATGCTAAGCAATTAATTTGTTTATATTTGTTCAATTGGGTTGTCGACTCATAACGAACTAAAAAATTTATGGTGAAATCACAATTTTAATATGTGCAGTCAATTACACATAATGCATCAATAAACAAATGATAAAAGTTTAATCTCTCCATGATATACTAGTGCATGTAGGTACTTTAAAAAAAAGTTAAAATAATTATTGTAATTATTATCTTTATGACTTAGATTTATTTCTTTTATTATCGTTCTAGATTCTAACTTCATGGGCAAAATTGCCTTTAAATATTTGGGCTGTGGTACGCACATTAAGCCCATAATTTCAAAAACTATGTCAGTTAGGGCTCCATAATTTACCTAAGTTCTAAAATTTAATCTTTCTCTCTCAACAACGAACATATCGAGCTTTCAGACTTTACAGAAATGGAGTATGTGAGCCCTGAAGGACTCCGGTTGGATGGACGTCGTCCCCTGGAGGTGCTGAGCTTTCTCTCAATTCTCTAAGTCTCATCTAATTCTACTTTACTTTATCGAATTTCGATTTATAATTTATGTTCGGTTGCTTGGTTTTGATCACAGATGAGACAGCTTCGAGCAGAATTAGGAGCTGTTTCCAGAGCTGATGGGTAGGGTTTCTGTGCTTAGTAATACTACATTTTGCAGAAGACGAGAGTAACGCTATTCGAGAAAATTCGAACGGGTTTTCGACTTTTGGTTAAGTTTGGCTGAAATTGCTTAATTTTTTCTGATGGCAGGTCGGCAGTTTTTGAGATGGGTAACACCAAAGTCATTGCTGCAGTTTATGGCCCTCGAGAGGTACCTTTCTGAATTGATTTTCTATTTGTTTTCTTCACCAAAGCTTGAAATGATTCTCAATTTGAGATGTAATGACGATAGAAGTATTAACAGTGCTTGACTTTGCTAATCATCATCTAAAAGCACTGAATTTTTTTTTCTCCAGGTCCAACAAAGGAGCCAGCATTTGAATGACAAGGCACTGATAAGATGCGAGTATACCATGGCTAATTTCAGTACAGGAGATCGAATGAGAAAACCAAAGGGTGACAGGTATGTCTTCCGCTTTTTTTAATAGTCGATACATTTCTTCTTTTAGAACTTTTAAAGTTGATTATGTTGTTTGTAATTAAATTATTGACTATGAATAAATGCATAACAATACAGGAGATCCACTGAGATTTCTTTGGTTATTCGTCAAACAATGGAAGCATGTATACTGACACACCTAATGCCCCGTTCCCAAATTGACATTTTTGTCCAAGTTCTTCAAGCAGATGGAGGTAAGTGAAGACTAAAGGACTGATTAGTCATTTCAAACATCATGTTTGTTTCTTACATTAATTTTTTGTATATCTTTTTCTCAGGAACAAGATCTGCTTGCATAAATGCTGCAACATTAGCCCTTGCAGATGCTGGCATTCCAATGCGTGATCTTGTTACTTCATGTAGTGCTGGATATCTAAACAGCACTGCCCTTCTTGGTAATTAATTACTATTAATCTTTAATTATCCTTTTTTCCATGGTGATTATCATATAATTATGGTTGAAATTTGAAATTTGAAATGAACAGATTTGAATTATGTTGAAGATAGTGCTGGTGGCCCTGATGTTACTGTGGGAATTTTACCCAAGTTAGATAAAGTTACTCTTCTTCAGGTGATTCATTCAAGAACAGTTTGTAAAAGTTAATAAAGTTTAATGAAATTTTAAATTATTAGTTTTGTTTTTGGTAGATGGATGCGAAGTTGCCAATGGATATTTTTGAAAATGTGATGCAATTGGCTACAGAAGGATGTAAAGCAGTGGCAAATTATATCCGAGAAGTAAGAATCTTGATGAAACTATCATTTTTCATTTATATTTATTCTTTTCTTTTTCATTGTTATGGGATTTATGGTGTTTAATGATGATTTACAGGTGTTGATTGAGAACACAAAACAACTAGAAAATCGGCGAGGAGTATGAAAGATAATAGATCAAAAGAAGGAATGATATGAATTTTGTAAAATTTGAAGCTTTTTTTTTGTAACATGTTAGAATTCAAGATATTTCCATTCAAAAACCAAAAGATGAAGTTAATGAAGATTCAAGATTCAACTTAGAAATCCTAATGAAGAAAGCCAACTTTTTAGCTAACTTTACAACACATATGATAGAACACAATAAACACAAGATAATAACATGCAAATCTAATAGATAAAAAGATAAAATATATTAATGAAAATTAGAAAAGTCGCTGCAAAAAGTTGAAGGAACAACAAGAATCTCCAAACGACCCATCCATTCTTCTCCTGCTTTCAAAGTAATTGGTTTCTCAATTACTGCTCCATCAACACAAACCATCTGTCTGTAATCTTCATCTCCCAAATCTGCCATTGCTTTTGATTTTTTCTCCCATGGATTCCACACCACTACACACACACACACTTAAATTAATAATGATGAAGACAATTAGTCAAAATCCATAATCATATAAGCAATCTTACCAACATCTGGAAGGCCTTCTTTTCTTAGCACATATGTCCGCTTCCTTTCATGATCAAGTACAGCAATGCAATTTGGAGAACTCAGATACACCCGTTCAAACTGAAATGCCACAACGGAATGGAATGGGTGATTACATTCCATTGTTATGTTTGGTTGACTTGGAGTTGCAGATTATGTAAATTAAAGTGATTTTAAAAATATAATGTGTCATTCTATTCATGATCAAGGACATAATTTCTTTTTCCTTCCCTCATGGAATGAAAATCAACCAAAGAGAAGGAATCACATCGTGTGAGGAATGCTCGATTCCATTCCTATGTGACAAACAAACATGATCAAATCCAAGATTTACCTCGGATTCAAAGGTAATGGCATCTCCTTGTTCAGTAAACCGTTCTCTTTCACAAAGGTTGTCAAAGTAATCCATTGTTTCTAAGCCTTCTACCCTCACTTCACTGTCAATCAAGAAATCGATCATATAATCAAATTCAATACTTAAAAGCAAACAACTTTCGTACGATGGAATCAGGACAGGAATGGAATGGATGATTCCGTTGGGGTGAAAAACAATCTATTTGTTTTGTCTGATGGAATGGAATGGACCATTCATATGAAAAACCATTTCGTTACCGCGTACAAGCTAACCAAACATGACCATGAAATGGAATGGAATGACTCATTCCATTACCTTCCTTATTCCATTCCATCGAAACAAACAGACATTAAAATCTTTACATACCTTATGTCGGAAACAGATAGATATGAGTGATAAGCAAATGAGAAACTAAATGGTTTCCCATTCATGTTCCTCACACGCGATATCAAGCTCAGATTCCCATCCATTCCAAGGCACACTCTAAGCCGAAGTTCAAAGCTGAAAAAACATCAGCTCAATTCAATTTTAACCTTAAAACAAACAAAAAAAAAACTTTACTTCATTATTTAGTTTACAAGTCCAAAGTAAAACCTGTGAGGCCAAGATTTGAGATCTTCTTCAGATGGTTTTAGTAGCAAATCAACAAACGATTTCCCATTTGAATCATTTGTGGGAAGAGGTGGAGGATCTTCATCAACAACCCAGATTTTGTTTCTTGCAAATCCATGTTGCTCAAGTGATCCACAGTTTCCAAATTGCATAATCACTTACAAAATTTCATCATCTTTTTAACCCCAAATCACACGGGTTTTCACAAGATTCATTGATTCATATACCTGAGGAAAACAGATTGGAATACCCCCTCTGATTGCTTTTGGAGCCTTCACATTCACCTGAATTTTCTCAACAAAAAAACAAGATTAATAACTCTATCAAGACCTTGCAAAAAAACATAAATTAGGGGGGGGGGGGGGGGGGGGTACCTTACTACTAGTGAAAAGGAGTTCTTGGCCTTGATCATTCCGCCATGAAATGACATGGCCACCCTGCAAGCTGACCTGGCACAACGAATTTTTATGATTCAGTAAACAATTCTAAATTTTTTTCATCCAAAAGAAGTAAGAACTAATTCACTTCATTGATATGATCAAGAATTTATGGAAACAAGGATTATAAAATGGATCAAACCCTAGCCGAAGCGCCTTGTGGATTCCGAAGTACGATTTGATCGATTCCATTCCAGTCTTTGACTCTTTCAGTTGCAAGCTTGGAATCCCAGATTGCTGCAGAATGCCCCATTTTTCTCTGAAATCCCACAAATTCTAGACTCTTGTTTCTTTATAAACCCTAATCAAAACGTTTTGTGCATGATAAATGTCGACATCATTCGAGAGGTGATGACAAGTGTCAAGTGACTTTGAGGTTTGAACAATAACTCATGTCATCTTTCTTGTGAATAAAAGGACACCCTTGTAATCTTGTGAACAATCTTTAAAATCCCCAACTACTTAATTCAATTCAATTCAATTCTTTCCCAATCCAGCCTTCCTCATACTTCAACAAATTACTTTCTAAATCTGGAAAGGTGTAGGTACCAGTGGCAAGCTGCAGACTCGAACTCCTGCCTAAAATTCAAGAAAAGAATCAAACGAAATTAATCAAATGCAGCATAAAACTAGCAAACAGATAAAAAAATATCAAATGCAGACAAGACTTCCATGAATAGAATCTTTTTTGAACAAAAACCAATTTCTTGAATCGAAATCTGAATGAATCCTGACAAAAACATACATGCATTCCAATTTCCACATTACCAAATCAAGAACTCCTAAATTCCCTAAAATTTCAAATCCAAAATGTCATCAAGATCATTGCGATACAGTGAAAGTAACATATCGAGAGAGTATTTAAAAGTTCCAAGATATAGAAGTTCTAATAATGGAAAGGTAAGAATAAAGAAAGAAAAATTCAAATCGAAACAAACCCCATTTAAGGAATCAAAGAGCAATTAATGATCATATAAGGAGATGCATTTAGAATTAAGAAAGAGAGAAGAAGATAGAAGCGTTCACTTACATTGCTTGGTGGAAGATGTGAAAACTGTTTTGAGGAAAAGAGCTTCAATTGGAAATTGAGTAAAGTTTGGTACTTTTTTAGTTCTGGGTTTCTAAAATTGAGCAAAATCAAGGTGGGTCAAGATTTGAAAATGCCAAAAAGGGGAAAGATTCAGAGATTCTATATTTTATTTGAACTTTTTGAGGGGCCAAAATGTTTGAAATGTGTTGAGGAAAACAGGACGATGAAGCTGGCAGTGATGACATAGTGACTTTATGGACCCCAGAGACATTTTCAAGGTGGTAATATATACATAAATAATAGACTAAAGTACAGAGCAGTCCCTGAGTTTTGAAATATTTTATAGTTTTGGTACTTCAACTTTCAGTTTTACAATTTTAGGGAACATTTTTTGCGGTGTTAAATATCATCCATCAAGTAGTGCATGTGTTTCACATGGGGTATTTTTGTCATTTCCCTAAAATCACACTGCCAGGGGCATGACTCCTTTGACCCCGGCCATTTGTTGTTTCAGGATCAAGCCGATCTTATATAAGTGTGTACTCTATAATGCTTAATTTATATTAATATACAGTTAATAATCCTCTTTAGCATTCGTATTAATTTCAATTATACTTAAATATCTACCGACAGTGTCATCACAAACACTCAATGTTTTGGACTTGTTATTTGGAACCTCTGTTTTTAACATGTAACTAAGGAACAAAGTTTATGTTTAATATATATGGTTAATGTAATATAAAAAAATTCTTACATAAGATACAAGTGAATCTAGTGCATCATAATTGCAATTGGGATAATACCTTTAACTTCAACTATATGTTAACATAATCAAGAATTCATTATATTTGGCAAATATATATATATATATATATATATATATATATATATATATATATATATATATAAGTTTCATTGATATGTTATAAAATTACAACACTTACATTGGAGAAAATGGAAGTCATCTCTCTAGGATAAAACGGAATAATCAAATTGCAACATTTAACCACTGTAATCTAGAATACATAAACTAAACCAACCACCAAAAAATCCAACCATAGACCAACAAAAACTTCAAGTTTTGAACTTTTGTCCAGTTATCTAGAATGAAAGGCAGCTTCGATCTTGTACCTTCACCTCAACAATTCATGTATAATTTCAACTAAACAAGGACACGTCTCGGGATCAACCCATCCAAATAACGGACGATTGGAAAACTGAAAGTTTGATTAAATAAAAGAATAGTAACTTTGTGAAATGACAAAAGGTGTGTGTGTGTGTGTGTGAGGGGGGGGGGGGGGGGGGGAAGAGTGTGACATACACGTTTTGAAATCGTGTTTTGTTAATTTTTAAAAGTGAAAAATATAATGAAATATTATATGAATTTGAGCATTGAGTTCTAACAGATAGTTTTTACTAGAAATGAAGTAAAGCTATTTTTAGAATCACTCGGAAAATTTTGGAAGTCTTATGAGATTCCAATCTAATATTGAAATTTAACGAAAATATAAAATTTAAAATAAGTGAAATTTTATTATTAAAAGTTGTAGATAATTTCGTTAGAAAAATTTAGGCAAAAACCTCATCGAAATCCGAGTTATAACGAAGAAGTTATGACCGATCGAAGATCCGCGACAGAACCGGCACGACGTCGTATGACGTAAAAAGTGAGTTTTTGATAAACTACTTTTTAGCTTTAGTAATCTAAATGAAAGTCGTAGTATTTGTTAAACCGAGAATTTTCATAAAAAGAACGTCCAAATCTGACTTCGTATGAGTAAGTTATGATTTTTCTAAGTTTCAGTTTAGCAGTAGACAGCTAAAAACTCAAATTTTAGATCGAGTGATTTTTAGCCGACACAACCTAAACGTGAATCGAAGGTCTCGTCAATAGTAGTACAACGGTAAAAAGACTGACGAAAACGGACGTCGGATGAAGAAGTTATGAATTTTTAGAAGTTCGGGGCACAATTTCCGAGAATTTTCGCATGGATAAGATCGGTCTCGTCACCTGTTCAAGTCGCATGTTCAAGTCGTGGAGGCGTCCGATGCAAGTCACGTCGCATGTTCAAGTCGTGGAGGCGTCCGAGAATTTCCGAGAATTTTCGCTCCGAGCATGCCGCATGTTCAAGTCGTGGAGGCGTCCGATGCAAGTCACGTCGCTCTCCCCTGCGAGCCGCTTCGTGTCTGAAGCGCTGGACCAATCCGAGACTGCCACCTGCCCCCTCCCCCGTGTCGACCTGCGAAGCGAGCCATGTGCTTGCTTCTCATTGCTTCGGATCCGAGGCTCTCCCCAATAAATAGTAGTTGCGAGATCTCCCGGCTAGATTTAGAAATTTGGCATTTTTCACCCCTAAACTCATATTTTCACTAATTCGACTTTCCCCGAAGCCCCGAAATCATTTCCAACATCCGAAACACGCCCCGAAGTGCCCGAGAAACCCGAGAAATTTATCTTTTCGGTTTGAAGCCCAACCCTCGCAGGGCCCGGTTTTCAACGAAGAAAGTTATTTATTATAACGAAGTGTTGTACAAATTACTATTTTAACCCCCGGTTATTTCACGGTGAGTTCAATATATAGGAACAATTGTATGTTATGTGTTATATGTGCTATGTGCTTTTCCGTGTTATCATCTCGTGTTATTATTTCCGCTATTTTGATAGCAAAGCTGTACCTTTGGCCATGTGATCAGTGAAAGTACTTAGATTCACAGTGGTATTGGTATGTAGCCTCTGGCTATATAGAGCAGGTCTCGTAAGAGAATGACTTCTATTCTATGGCATTGGCAGAAGGTTAAACAGGGCTGAAAGCCTGAAATCTACCAAAATGTTTAATCAGAAAGTGTATGTCTTCTGTGCCATTTGGGCCGAAGTGTTATTGATGTATATCAAGTATTGAAATTGTTATGTCTTATTGATTGATATGGAAAGTCTGCCGTATGATTCACATATGCCTTTGTTGTTCCTTGTTCCTTTTGTTGTTCCTTGTTCCCTTTGTTTCTGTCATATTGGTATATATATGACATAACGTTATATTGTATCTATTATTGAACTCACTAAGAGTCACCGCTTACCCCTCTCAATGTTTAACAATTGCAGGAGATAAGTAAACAGTATAGTCGTATACTGTTGGAAGGTTTGGAATAGTTATAATATTACTATTGTATTTAGGGATCATGTATGTATAAAAGTATAGTATCATGGGTAGTTGTGTAATATATAACACTTTGTAATAGTCGGTTTGTATCCAGTCTTATGTAAACAAGTTATCAATGTAAAATATTTTTTTATGAATATGCAAGTAGCATGTTTTGGAGTAATAATGTTTTTAGTACGAAAGTTAGGGTCTTTCAGGAAGAATAACCACAAAAATGGAACTTTCATAAAATGACCACGATTTCCACAGAGAGAGTATGTGGAAGTCGTTAAGCTCTGAGAAATTGGACACGTGGGGAAAAAGACAAAAAATCAGGTTTGAGAAATGGATCCACAGAGAAGGTCTCTGTGGAAATGGTGAATGCTCTGCGGAACCGGTAGCTGAAAGCACTAAATTACGTCCGACATTTTCAACCCCCCCCCCCCCCCCCCCCTCCACCCCCTCACTCTTTTTTGGCCATTTCACAAATTTTCCCATAAAAGAAACTTGAAATGGATATTAGGTAAATCAACATGTATAATTAACGAACCTTGTTTTAGCACGAGTAGAATTAACAAACTATGGTTTCTATTAGTGCAAGACATGTGAATTATTGATGCTCTTCCGAGATCCAAATCATCATTATTCATGGGAGATTCGACGAGTATGGAACCAAGAAATATTAGAATAATAGTTGCATGTATGTGAAAAATTAAAAGTATAGGTCCCAAAATTATAAAGTTTTACATAATTCAGGTATATTCTTGTAATTTACTCTAAAAAATATGAAGTCTAATTCAAAATGAATTCTACCCATGACTTGAAAGGATTAGGTAGCTTAGTTCATTGTTTATTTTGTGTACACCATTTTTTTACTTCAAGAGAATTTTTCATTTTTTTACTAATTTTATGTTAAGTCATTATACAATTTAAAGAATTTACATTTCTACATTACAGGCGAGCATAAAAACGTCCGATTACAACTTTTATATGATAACCCTTAAAAATGCTAGTCTGTTTAAACATCCTAACAATATAGTTTAATTAAATCAAAATGACAGTCTTAACAAAAATGAATTCAAATTTCAAAATTCGAAAAAGACTACTTGGATTTAAATTAATAATCATATTGTCCGCCTCATAGTTCATAGCTCATTAAAATAGTTTTACATTGAATTGCTTGAATATAAGTATATAATAATCTTAAAGAAATGAAGAGAGCACATAGAAATGAGTATCTTTTGGTATGCGGGATCCTCTCGTATGGGTTGATGTTCTTTTGTCACATCAAAATTATATTATCATTTGCATTTGCTGGAGGCGTTGCCATCTTTTCCAAAAAAAAAATTATATTATCATTTTCTTTAGTTTTTTGTACAAGTCACAACAATAATAGTTAAATGACACAATTGTTACAAATCAAGTCAACAACCAGGTTACATTATTGAAATTAAAAGAAATGTAACAAACCAAACAACATAATTTTTACTTGATACAAATGTGGATGTAGAAAATCATGTAGATGTATGTCAATATACTCAATATAGTATTTTAAGACAAAATTTCGATATTTTAGAGGCTATTTGATATAGTTTTTACTGGGTCTGATAAGAGGTTGAATCTGATTCGATCAAATTCAAACTGTTTGATACCACAATTAGAAGTATATGATTCAGTCCTAGACATAACTTATGTTGACTCAATCAGGCTTTACCTTACTCAGATCTGATTCTGTTTTAGACTATCAAACAACCCCTTAGTATTATAGTAATTAGAAGTCTAGCTTGAGGATACAACAATTACAATTCAAGTTCTTGCACAAGAAACTTGAATTCTGATGAATCTGCTATGATTTTATTGGATTTTTAGGATAAATGAGAGGGATGATATGGTTGTATGTATGGGAATATGTTGCCAGAAAAAGATACTTGGTTCTTTTATGTTGCTTTTTCTGTACACCAGTTTTTGATAGTTTAATTAACCGTTAGTGACAGTTAAATGATGACATCAAACTATGGCTTTATGCAAAAATACAACAACCAAAAGGATTGTAGTCTAATTGTAACACATGTTTTCCAAAATGGATCAGTTAAGGGCTCAGAGGGATCATAAGTAAGGTTTTTAGGAAAAACATTGTGCCACTACATGGTGGATGGAGTGTCACGACGTGGCAAGCCAATTTCAGGAACGCGCAATTGGATGGTCGCCTCGACGTGACAAGAGGTAGACCATGACGTGGCAGCTGCTACAGCCCAAGCCCATGAACATTACGGTTTCTTCCATATTTAAAGACTCTAACTCCAGGTTTAAGGTATTCCTTTCAGCCTCCATCTTCCCATTTGATAAACCATAGCCCCTTCTCTCTTTCCCCTCTCATCCTTGTCATATTTTGTGAAAGTGTGCCATTTTGGGTGCTTGAAGGAAGGTCGTCATCTCTTGAAGCTTGAGTGTGTATCCCCAGAAGAGATCTAGCATATTGAACATCATTTGGACCTTTGTAAGTATTCAAGTTCCCAACTTTGTGGCTTTATCTTTCTAGATCTAGAGTTTCATGGCTTTTCATGTCCCTTTCATGATGGTGGTTAGAGTTCATGGAAGAACTCCAAATAAAGCTTGCAAGTTTAGCTACCTTGTATGTCCATGGAGTGTTCTACCTTGTAGATCTAGAATTTGAGTATGGTTTGGAGTCATGTATGAGTTAAAGGTCACATTTTGACATTTTTTACCGAGTTTTGGTGGAGACATGCATGTCCATAAAGTATTGATTTTTATGACTTATCTTGGTACAATGAAGCCCTCTTTAAAGTATCATAAGTTGTCTTAATGTA